GCCATCAGCCTGACAAAAACTGTCTGCTTGGCACCTGTGTAGCTGAACAGTTTGTAGGTATACATGATACTTGCAGAAGCCTTTGGCCTGTTGCAAAGATAGATGGTATGTTTTCTTCTGCAATTAAATATCTAAAACCTGAAGAAAGCCAGTTTATTTTCTCTCAACAGTTGCTGTAATCTCTGGCCTTTAACCAGTAACCAAGAGACTTTTCAGTTAACGTACTAATAGCCTGTGCCTCATGTGAAGAAATGAAAAGAACCTGCTTAAAAGAGAATGACAAACAGAAAATTCGGGCAAGCAGAACAACTATCTCAGCAAACTGTGTGGACTGGAAGCATTGAATTGCTTCCCCAATTTTTTTCCCTCTATCTGTAACACCAATGTGTGTGCATGTGCGTGCGTGGTTGGAAGGGAATTTGAGATTTAACTAATAGAGTTATATGTCAACAGTTCATAATTGTTTGCCTGTGGTTAGAATCTACTTATTTATAATAAACAGTAGTTCTTGTTAATTACAGAAACCTAGTTTGTGTTTTCTGTTAGCCTGGGTCCATCTGTTAGGTAAATTGCATATTTTGAGAAACTTTTTAACTTTTACGATAACTTCAGGATAGTGGAGTTTGAGTTCAAGCACACTACCCCTGTGAGGCATGACAGTATACATGCGTACAAATCATGAAAGGTGGGAGGATGTGTGGAGAGAACTGTTAAAAAAAATTGTTTTCTAGACTTCACTAACAGAGTACAAGAGCAGGGATGTTATTCAGAACTTATATAGGTCACTAGTATGACCCTTAACTGGAGTACTGTGTACAGTGATTTAGGAAGGAATTAAACACATTGAAGAGGCTGCAGAAGATTTTTTCAAGGATGAGAAACTTCAGATATAAGAATAGATTGGAGAACTTGGGATGGTTTTCCCTGGAATGGAGAAGGTGAGGGGAGATTAGCTAGAAGTTTTCAAAATCATAAGGAGTCTGTACAGAGTGGATAGGGAGAAACTGTTCTGACTTGTAATAGGATCAGAAACCAGAGGACACTATTTTAAAATGTTTTACAAGAGAAGCACACGGAAGGTGAAAAAAATCTTTTTCACACAGTGAACTGTTCAGGTTTGGAATGCACTGTCTGCAAGTGTAGCGGAGGCAGGTTCAACTGAGGCATTCAAAGTGGCATTGGATGATTATTTAAATAGTAACAATGTGCAGGGTTGTGAGGAAAAAGTTGGCACTAAGTCAAAATGCTTGGAGAGTTGGTGCAGACACAACGGGCCAAATGACCTCCTTCTACACTATAACAATTCCATGATTCTGTGATTCTGGTGATTGAGTCAAAATATTTATACGAGTGTTCAGCTTTTGGGAGTATTGAGGCTTGATTACTCCTGTCACAGACATAACAAAGAATTTTAAAAAATACCTTTACACAGAGCTGTTTTTAGTAATGAATCATTTATTTATATTTACCTATGCATTTTATGATATTCTTTAGCCCTTTTCTTCCATTTCAGATGCAGAAGATCCACATAGTCTTCAGGTGGGGAGTTGAGGAGGATGGGGAAGGCAGCATAAGAATTAGGAGGCACTGTAGAACATCAAGTGTCACACCACTTTACATAGGGACATAGTCTGTAATTGTTACCACATAGCCAGGTGAGCCAGAAAGTCCTAACCAAAACCAAAGTCCCAGCATTGTGTAGGTAGATTATTGACAGTCAGAATTCATCAGGATGACCTAGTGCTGCCATATGAAGTTTCCTTAATTAAGGTTTAGCAGCCTTCAAACTCTCAAGGTGTAGGCATTTGAGAAACATCTCACTGGTGCATTTGAATACATCACTGAGCCTACAACATAGAAACTAGGGTTTTGTACTTCTTAATTTCTGCCAGTAATATTACGCACAATTCCATGTACATTAATGTTAATCAGTAGCCTCTTATGTTGGACCTGATCAAAAGCCTTCTTGAAATCCAAATACACCATATCCACTAGTTCTCCCTTAGCTTTTCCATTATTTCATCCTTAAAAAATTCCAGTAGATACATTAAGCATAATTGACCTTTCATAAACCAATGTTGAGTTTGTCTGAAACAGAAACAGAAATTCTTGGAGAAACTCAGCAGGTGTGTCAGCATCTGTGGAGAAAAAGCAGAGCTAATGTTGCGGGTCCAATGACCCTTCTTCAGAACTGTTCTATATAAGGGTCAATGGATCTAAAACATTAACTCTGCTTTCTCTTAGACACAGTCAGACCTGCTGTGTTTCTCTAGCAATTTCTATGTTTGTTTCGGATTTCCAGCATCCACAGTTATTTGGTTTTTCTGAGTTTTATCTGATCCCGTTAGTGTTTTCCAATGTTCTGTTATTATTTATTTTGTACTAGAGTCTTGTATTTTCCTCAGTACTGACACTAATTGATCTGTAATTCTGTTTTTCTCTCCCTCCTTTTTTAAAAACAGTGGATTATATCTGCCACCCTCCAATCAATAAAATTCTGCTTCAGAGTTTATAGAATTTTGGAACACAGCCACCAATGCATCAGATATTTCCAGGACCACTTCCTTTAGTAATCTAGGATGCAGGTTATCAGGCCCTGAGATTTATCAGCCGATATGTACCACCAACACTGTTGTTCACCTTTCCTCTTCAGCATGCCTTGCAGCTTCTCAAAGCCTGTTTGATCCTAAGGCAACATACTATCCCAGAGATAACGAAGTGTGGAGCTGCAGGAACACAGCAGGTCAGGCAGCATCAGAGGAACAGGAAAGCTGACGTTTTGGGTCAGGACCCTTCTTCAGAAATCTGCTTGGCCTGCTGTGTTCCTCCAGCTCCACACTTTGTTATCTGTGACTCCAGCATCTGCAGTTCTTGCCATCTCATACTATATTGCAGTATTTTATATAGCTGTAGAAAAGCCTGTCTGTTCTCCTTCCTAATGAATCTTCTAACACTCTGCCACTTTTCTTCCTCCCTTCTTATTCAGCAGAACCACCAATGGTGCCATGGATCTAACTGTTGTGCAATCCCCTTAGAATTCAATTCCCCTAACAGTATCCAAAACGCTGTGTCTTTTAGAGAGGGGAATGGCCACAGAGGTCTTTTGCACTATCTGTCTCAGTCTATTTGCCTGGTGGTCACTCACACCCTTTCTGCTTGTTCAGTCTTTATCAGCAGTGTGACCATCTCATTGCTGTGCGTGATGATCTCAGTATCATGGATGCCCCACAGAAAGTCAGCCTGCAGCTGTGGTGCAACGATAACAATCTCTCTCTCAGTGTCAGCAAACCAAAAAACTGATCATTGACTTCAGGGAGAAAGGAGGAGAAATGCCCCTATCTACACCAACACAGCTGAGGTGGAGAGAACGAAAGGGGCAAGTTCCTAGGAACTATGATAACCAACAATCTGGACCTCCCATGTAGATGGTAGGTATCTATGACTTCCATGTAGGTCAAGAAGGCACAACAACACGTCTTCTTCCTCAGGCAGCTTAGGAAATTCGGCACATCCATAAGGACCTTCACCAACTTCTATAGATGCATCATAGAAAGCACTCTATCTGGGTGCATAATGGCCTGGTACAGTAACTGCTCTGCCAAGGACCATAAAAAGCTACAGAAAGTTGGGTGCACAGCCCAGTCCATCACAGAAGTCTACCTACCATCCATTGACTCCATTTACACTTATCGTTGCTGTGGAAAGGCTGTCAACATCACCAAAGACCCCTGCCACCCTGGTACTGCTCTCTTCCAACCTCTTCCATCAGGCAGAAGGTACAGAAGCTTGAACACATGCATCAACAGGTTCAAGAAGAACTCCTTCCCTGCTGTTATTAGACTGCTGAATGGAGCTCTCTAACTTCATGTTGATCTTACTAATGCTGATTTTGCTTTGTGCAGCCTTAACCTTGTATGCTTCACACTGTCTACGTACCCTATGATTCGTGTATCCTTGTTTGCTATGATCTGCCTCTATTGCTTGCAGACAAAACTTTTTACTACACCTAGGTAAATGTGATTAAAATAAATCAAATCAAATCAAATCAAGCTCCAGCTCTGAAATGTGGTTAGCCAGTTACTGCACCTGAACACATTTCCTGCACATATGGCCACCAGGGTCAGATGGTCATATGCACAGTGACCTAAATACATCATATCTAAGAAGGCATGTGACTTCAGTCAATGGCTTGAGACTCTCCTGTAGCTAATGGATAAAATGTTTATACTGTTGAGTTTATGACAAATAGAGAAACCATATTAAGGCAATTAGTTTAATTGAGAATTCAGAACAGAAGGTTCAAGTTCTCAGCTCATAAGATTCCAGAATTCAGTTCAAAAGGGAATAGTTTTGTTTGTAGGAGGAGGACCAAGTTTTTTGCAGTTTATTTCATGGGAACCAGTCACCTCAGCAGAAGTGTTTTTTTTAGTCTGTGGAGTTTTCAAGCTGTCAGAGTTTGTATAGAAGTTTTCAAGTTATTAAAAATAAAAAAAAAGTTGAGGATATTAGGAATATGAAAGGGTCATGCCTCATAGTTGGAATGGAATTGGAAATAACAATCTCTGCAGTCAAATGGAATGAAACTACAAAGTGTTCTGGAATTGAGGCGCTGTAACAGATAGCATTGGGAAAAAGTTGAAAATTTTGTTTTGATTTTGTTAAATATCTTTCTGTCTTCTACACACATATTCAGCGTTTTTTTTTTCTTCTTTTACATAATAAATTTATACTCTGTTGTTAAGGAATATCTGCAGCCTCATGTGAATATGTTTCAGTAACTAACTGCCACGTTAACCAACTACAAAAATTAAATATATTATCCATTAAGTTATGTTTCATTCTGGAATCTGGCTTATCCAGTATTACCATCAGCTTGGATCACCACAGTACAATACATTAAATAATTCTAGTTTTAACTACAAAATGATTTTACAAAGTGGGTCCATATGCTGCCACTTTTGATGTATTATGCTAAATTGAGAAAATAATGTAGTAATTACCTTTTTTAAGTTTACGTACTGCTAGCATTCGATGATTAAAAGAGAGTTCCCAAATTCTTAATGTTTTGTCATCACTTACAGTAGCACAGATGGGAAGAATAGGATGAGCCGCAAGACCCCAAACCTCCCCTTCCATATGACCCTAATTAGATAAAAGAAAATAAGCATTGTTCATTGTACATCATTTATAGTCATAGCACTGAATAAGGAGAAGAAAGTAATATCATATGAAAATGTATAAAAGGTACATGACATTTAATCACTTTGTTGACGTTATTGTAATCTATGTATACTAACTCTTGAAGGTAATATAGTTAGAAAAGGGGCTTGTGGTGCAGTGGTAGAGTTCCTACCTCTGAGCCAGGATGTCCAAATTTAATTCCCACTTCCGTCAGAGGTGTGTAATAATATCTTTGAACAGGTTAGTTAGAAAATATCAGTAGTTACAGAATACCAGCTTCTTTGACTGTATTAGTACTTGAAGGACTTATTGATGAAATTCTTTGCCTTCTTACCCCCTTAGCCTGGTACATACTATTTGCATTCAAACAATTTTTCAAATTATGAGCCATAGATTGTAATGCTGCAATTACATTGCAGTTATTTCTAACATAAGTATGTGAACATATACATAATTGTAATATAAGAATACTGGTGTCAAATTTTTGGTGTGTGTAATATCAAGTAATATTAGACCAAATGTAACTGTATTCAACAACACTGGTGTAACTTATTCAAATTCAATAATACAAATGAATGACTTGGTTTACTTAGACTGAATTACATGAGAATTCTGCACAATGCATGAAAAACATTGAAACATTATAGACATTGGAAACATTAGGTTCAAAAGTCTTCATCACTATATATGTTAAATATTGGGGTGAGTTTTTATTAACAAATCTGTTTGAGTCAGATGGTGGAGTTAATGTGTTTAAAAACAGATTCTAAGCCCAAACTCAGCCACTGCTGGCTTTAACGTTTTACGGTGTCATGATTTTTAACTTTACTATCAAGGCCAGCATTTATTGCTCATACTTAACTGATCTTGAGAAGCTGGTGGTGAACCTTTCTTGAACCGCTGCAGCCCTTCTGGTATAGGAACTCCTATAGTGCTGTATGAAATTCTAGGATTTTGACTCAGTAACGGTAAATAAACAGCACTAAAGTTCCAAGTCAGGGTGATGTGGACGAACTTGTAGGTGTGACATGCATCTGCTGCCTAATCCTTCTAATTGATTGACATTGTGGCTTTGGAATGAACTATTGAAACAGGCTTGGTGAGTTGCTGTAGTACACTTTATATATGAAACACACTGCTTCCATTGCACAGTGGTGTTTGAGAGTGTGAACATTTAAGTGGTGAGTGGTGTCTAATCAAGAGGGCTGCTATGTCCTTGATTGTTTCAAGATTCTTCAAATTTCTTTCATTTTCTATAGTATATCCTTAAGTGGATTGCAGTCAAATTCTGCATACTTCAGAGAAGTGCATTAGGACAATTCACTAGAGGGAGATGGTGGAGTGCGTTTGTTTGTTTGTGGCCTTCACTACCAATTAGTTAATTGTCCATGACTAGATGTGGCAGGACTGCAGAACTTAGATCTGTTTACTTGGTTGTTAGATTGCTTACTGCTGACTGTTGCATGCTGCAGTAGTCCTGTGTTTTAGCTCCACCAGGTTGATATCTAATTTTTAGGTATGATCCCGACATGCTCTTCTGCACCTCTCATTAATCCAGGGTTGATCTCTAAGCCTGAGTGTAAAGGTAGAGCGGGGACATGACAGGCCACGAAGTTACAGATTGTAGCTGAATACAATTCTGCTGATACTGATGACCCACAGTACCTCACAGAAACCCAGATTTAAGTTGCTAGTCTGATCCATTTAGCACAGTGGTAGGGCCACACAACATGATGGAGGATATCCTTAATATGAAGACAGGACTTTGTGTCCACAAGGACTGTTTGGTGGTCACTTTATTGATGCCAAATATTTAACTTGATCCCAAATTTTATGAAACTGTGAAACCTACTGTACTTAAGTACAGCCAAGTCCTGAACTTTGATATAATAAATGGACAGATGGCATAGGCAGATGCATCTATCGCAGGCAGATGATGCGAGGAACAGGTCAAGTATGCTTTTCTGTCTTGTAGGTTCCTTTATCACCTGCTACTGGCCCATTTGCACAGCTATAGATGGTCTACCTGATTTCATTCCTTTCTTTGGGTTTTGTAGCCATTTTGATGCAACTGAGTGGCTTGCTAGGCCATATCAGAAAACAGCTCAGAGTTAACAAAACTGCAGTGGATGTAGAGTGACATGTAGGCCAGACCAGATGAGAACAGCCCATTAGTGAATAAGATATGTTTTTACAGCAATTGACATGGTCATCATTATGTAGTAAAGAAGTTGGCCAGGCGGACGTCATAGAATATGAGTTCTTTCATTGGAGCTGTTAATCTGTTTCAATCAGGGAGCCCTGGCTGACAGGTAAGGAGTATCAGATATCCTGTTCACTCTGAGTTGGCTCTGAGGGAGCTGGATCAGTGTCAAGGACTCTCCAGGTGCAAATAAAGGGTGATTTGGTGATGGAAGAACAGCCTCTGTGGAGTTATTTTAGTGGTGACCCAAGAGAAAAGCATGCTCCTGAAGAAATTCACTCGCAACAATTGTCTTTGAGTTGGGGCAAGCATTTCTGGCATCATGCTGTTATTTGGGAAGCTTGACTGGTTCATCCTGCCATCCAAGACTGGGCCCAGTAGCTGGAAAGAATGTGTTATTCTTTCTGGGCAAATGATATTGGGCAGATGAAAAGCAACGAGTAATTCTCCCAACAGCT